GGGCCACCCTGCCTTGGTGGGAATCGGCCAGTGTGATAATAAAAAAAAATTATTATTATTATTATTATTATTATATAAATAATTTGTAATATTTATTCACACAAAAATATAAAATTTACTGTTATTCCTTATTGCAATAATTGTTTAAATAATGTCAACCCATTCACAACTGCATATCGGAATGGACAGTGATGTCATTTGTTTACTCTGAAACAGCCAGCAGTGGACCATTTCTCCTAGGTTGAGCTCAATTTCAAGGCGCTTTTTGTCGTGAAAGCAATCAAAATCATAACTATTTCTGTAATATATCTTCCATTCTATCAAATGAGACCAAAAAAAATGAGAATACAACCATAAAAACCATTCAAAATTACCTCTAAGGGGTGGCTAATTGCTGAGAAGTGAACTCCATTTTTTATGCTTAGATTTCTTTCATTTTTGGTGTACGTTAAGAAGCATCTTTCCATCATTCATTGGCCAAGTTTCAATAAGATAGTCCAACAAACAAATGAGATACGATTCCCGAGATCAAGAGCAAGAGCCCCTCACCATTGGCAAGAAACTTGCCTTGAGGTCTGCTCGCTTGTGGAAATTTTGCTCGCATATGGAAGCAAAAAATTGACTCATCGACTGCTCGTATTTGGAAAAACTCGCACGTGGACATGCTCGCAAGTAGAGGTTCCACTGTATATATACGTCAAACACGGTGGCTTGTAAGACGTATATATACGACCGAAACAGTCAAAGGGTTAATGCTGTTCTCACCGAGTGTTAAGACCCATTCTATACTAACCAGGCATCTCAGGCCAATCATGCCAAATTTGGAGGCAGGACAAATAAAACGTAGATAGTATATGTTTGAAGCACTAGTGGTACAAACGTAGATCTACATTTGGAGAGTTTAAGGGTTAAATGTTCACATTGCTAAGCATTAGTCACTGGGCTTGCAGTAGTGACGTAACTAGAGTTTACTCTCCCCGTCTCCCCACCCTTGGATTTCATGGGAGTGACATCAAAGCTGCCGCCCTGGCTGACACCAACCCTAGCAATGCCACTGATGTATACCACTAGGTTTCCAGTGCTAATGTATAATGTAATATTACAGTAAAACTAGTTTAGACGTTAAATGTTGATATAATAGCATTTTTTGTGTTAACGTGTTGGCCGTTTCACCAGCACACTAGGCTTAAAATTCCCCTCTGAGAGTATGGATCTGCTTTGTTATTGTACTCTGAGTCTCCTTTTTTGACTCTGTAGATATTATTTTCTGCTAGATTAGTTCGAAGTGCTGGAGGGATATATTTTATAAGTTCACTGGCACAGTTTTAAGTTCTAGCGTGCAGGAGAGACCGTGAAAAACACGAAAGAACACAACGACACAGCCAGTGTAAGGAAACACGTCCGATATTTCCACCCCTCCTTTAGAGTGCAGACACTGTACTTCCCATCTCCAGGACTCAAGTCTGGCCTGCCGGTTTCACTGAATCCATTCATAAATGTTACCTTGCTCACACTCCAACAGCTCATCAAGCTCTAAAAACCATTTGTCTCCGTTCGCTCCTATTTAACACACTCAAGCATGCTTGCTGGAAGTCCAAGCCCCTCGCACACAAAACCTCCTTTACCCCCTCCCTCCAACCTTTCCTAGGCTGACCCCTTCCCCACCTTCCCTCCACTACAGATTTATACACTCTCGAAGTCATTTTATTTCCTTCCATCGTTGCATGGGCCAGTAGGCCTTCTGCAGTGCTCCTCCATTCTTATGTTCTTATGTTCTAAACCACCTCAACAACCCCTCCTCAGCCCTTTGGATAATAGTTTTGGTAATCCAGCACTTCCTCCTTACTTCCAAACTATGAATTCTCTGCATTATACTCACACCACATATTGCTCTGAGACATGATACCTCCACTGCCTCCAGCCTTCTCCATGTTGCAACATTCACCACCCATGTTGTCTCCACAGACTCCGAAGTGCACCACTCACCTTTTTCCCCTAATCAATTTTATGATTCACCTCATCTTTATAGTTTCTGCTGACACATCCACTCCTAAATATCTGAATACATCACCACCTCCATACTCTCTCCCTACAATCTGATATCTAGGTTTTTGTCACCTAATTTTTTATTATCCTCATCACCTTACTCTTTCCTATATTACTTTTCATTTTCTTCTTTTACATACCCTACCAAACTCAACCAATAACCTCTGCAACTTCTCTTCAGAATCTCCCAGATGCACAATGTCATCAGCAAAAAGCAACTGTGACAACTCCAACTTTGTGTTAGATTCTGTATCTTTTAACCCCACACCTTTTGCCAACACCTGAGCATTCACTTCTAGATAATGATAACTAGATAATGATATATCCATTGACCCTCTGTAAATATGTACATCCTGAAGCCTTTTGTCCACCAATACATAATCTAAGAAACTATACTTTCATTATGTGCTGTATGTTGTATATTTATTTATCCACTTTTTCATGAAATATGTATTACTTATTACCAAACCTCTTTCTACACATAGTTCAATTAAAGGCTCCCCATTTTTGTTTACCCCTGGCACCAGAAATTTACCTACTACTCCCTCTGCAACATTTTTACCCACTTCAGCATTAACGTCCCCAACTGCAAGTACTCTCTCACATGGGTCAAAACTTCCCATGCACTCACTCAACATTATCTGAAATCTCTCTCTCTCCTCTACACTTCTCTCTTATCAAGGTGCTTAAACACTTACTATAACCCACTTTTCACATCCAACCCTTATTTTACTCTATATAATCCTTGAATTTATACATTTATATTCCTTCTTTTCCTTCCATAACTTATGCTTCAACATTATTGCTACTCCTTCCTTAGCTCTAACTCTGTTAGGAACCCCTGACCTAATTTCCTTTATTTCTCCCCGCTGAAACTCTCCTACCCCGTTCAGCTTTGTTTCACTTAGGGCCAGGACATCCAGCTTCTTTTCATTCATGACATACACAATCATCTCTTTCATATCATTCGTTCTACAACCACGCACATTATCAAAATATTTATATGTCTATACCATTATCAAAATATATAGCGAAGTAGATTGAGAGAAAGAAAGGTAGAAACAGTTAATTTAGATATTTAAACCTGAATATTGCTCCTGGAGGTGTAGAATAATAATTCTACGAGAAACTTGTTTTTTTTGAAACACACTAGTCGTCTTCCACCAAGGCAGGGTGACCCTTAAAAGAAGTACTTTCACCATCATTCATACTATCACTGATGCACACTGATCCGACAGTTCAGATGATCCTCCCAACAGCAAATATTCCAAACCCCATGTTTAGAGTGCTGGCCCTGTACTTCCCACCTCTAGGACTTGAGTCCAGCTAACCAATTTCCCTGAATCCCTTCAAAAAATGTTACACTGTTCATGATTCAACAACTCATCAGGTCCCAAAAAGCATTTGTCTCCACTCACTCAAATTTAACATGCTTACATGTGTCTGCTGGATGTCCTAACCCCTTGCACACAAAACCTCCTTTAACCCTTTCAGGGTCCAGAGGCCAAATTTCAAAGTGCGCACCAGTGTCCAAGAATTTTCAAAAAATAATTTTGTTATTTTTTCTTAAGAAATGGTAGAGAATCTTTTTCTGAAGGTAATAAAACAAAAAGTACGAAATTTGATGGAAAATTGATGGAATTATGATCTTGCGAATTTTTGTGTCAGCGATATTTACTCATTGGCGATTTTGCCGACTTTGACTCCCATTTTAGTACAATTACATTATTCCAGTCGACCAAATTCTTAGCTATTTCACTAGTATTAATTCTATTCTATCGATTGAGCACAAGAATTCACCAAGTCAACTGTTTCAACTACAAAATAAAGTGATCGGAAATTGGTAATTTGGCCAATTTAATGCAAAGTTCAAAATATTCCAATTTCAAAATAGGGTCCAGAATAAACAATGCAGGCATTCCTGGCACCAAACTAACATTTCCTCTGTTCATTAATTATGTTTTCAGGCTTTACTAATGAATTCCATTTTGATTTTTTATTCACAATGAATTTTTATTCAAACCAAAAAATAGAAGATTTACTATTATGCAATATTGTAATAATTGTATAAATAATATCACCACATTTGTGAACATATGTTAGACCCACCAGCAGGTGTGTATTAGACATGTGAGGTTATTTGTTTACTCTTGAACATCAGCAAAATTTTAACATTTCTGCTACTTTGAACTCAGTTTCAAGCCATTTCCAATACTAAAACCAATCAAATTATTTCTATTTCTGTAATATATCTTACATTTTATCAAAGAGACCAAGAAATCGCAAATACAATTATAAAAAACATACGAAAAAACACTGCAAAATCGCTGTTTTAATCGAAAATTAGTCTCAGTTTTTTTCTCATTGTGCAGTATGTACTGCAAGATTTGTTTTATATGCTACACACATACCACATAGATGTATTCTCTCATATTTAGGCCAAAATTTACCACTCACAGCTTATCAGACTGAGCTGAGCTCATAACGTAGATCTACGGTTTGGACCCTCACCGTAAAGCCGTAGATCTACGGGACAGACCCTCAGAGGGTTAACCCCCTCCCTCCATCCTTTTCTAAGACAGCCCCTACACCTCTTTCCTTCCCCACTACAGATTTATACACCCTCCAAGTTGTCCTATTTTGCTCTATCCTCTCTAAATGACAAGACCATCTCAACAACCTGTCCTCAGCCCTCAAGATAATTTTAGTAATTCTGCACCTCCTATCTGTAAAAATTTAATGGGTCTAGAAAATCCATTGATGACACATTTTACTATATTTTTTGTTATGTGCAATGCTCTTGCACATTTTCAGTGTAAGTAGATTGAAAAATGCAGGTATGGATTATTAATTAGCATGTACATTGAGAATTTTTTTGAATATAGTTACTTTATTCAGTAGTATTTTGTTTTGTATTCATAGTGTATCATTTACACTCATTCTTTTTTTTTCAGGATACTCTGTAGGAACTGTTGTGCGTTCATTGAGTGAAATTCGTGAGGAAGCTTGGCATGTGCCAGGATTTCAAGTTCTTACATGGCTAGTCCCACGGCATATTCACATCCCACAGGTGTATTACCTCCTCCTGGCCTTACTTCTTGGACAGCCTGTCAAGAATGTTCAAAACAACACTAAGGTCAGATATAAATATTTATGTTACTACGACTTGTGAGAATGATACATACTGAACTGTAATTCCTGATGTAAGGTAGAGTACATCAGGCATGTTATACGTATTCCTGAAAATTGGCTCTTAACATGCTATTAAATGAAGTGAAAAACATATGGGGAAATTTACCGCCCAAATTTTTTTTTACTGTTGTTCAGTGAACCGTCGCTCAACAGTTGAACCTTTTCAGTGGCCATGATATAAAACTACTTTATTGAGGCCAGGGTCCCTCATGTAGTTCTACAGCATGAGCTCAGCTAACTCAGATAAGCTGTGAGTGGTAAATTTTTGCCTAGATATGAGTGTGCACAGTATAAAAAAAAAATCTGCCTCATGCAGTGCATGATGGAAAAAATAAACCTATGAACTGTCCAAACGTAGATCTACGTTCACTTGCCAAGCGCTCCGAATATTTTGATTTTTTTTTTTTTTTTTTTTTTTTTTACCGTGATGAGACGGCAGGTTTCAAATTTCATGGACCAGCATGATTTTAGAGCAGGACGATCATGTCTGTCACAGCTGCTGAACCATTATGACAGAATTACGGAGACACTGGAAGACGACCAAAACGCAGATGTGATATACACAGATTTTGCAAAGGCGTTTGACAAATGCGATCATGGAGTGATAGCGCACAAAATGAAGGCCATGGGCATTACGGGGAAGGTAGGCAGATGGATTTTCGGTTTCCTAACACACAGAACACAAAAAGTAGTAGTGAACAGGGCAAGATCCAACATAAGCGAGGTCAAAAGCTCAGTGTCCCAAAGCACTGTCCTGGCACCTCTGCTGTTCCTCATCCTCATAGCAGACATAGACAAAAACATCCGGCACACTTTTGTATCATCATTTGCAGATGACACTAAAATAAGCATGAAAGTCAGTACGGTAGAGGACACTGAAAAAGTACAGGAAGACATAAACAGGGTTTTCCAGTGGGCAGTGGAAAACAACATGACGTTCAATGGTGATAAGTTCCAGCTGCTTAGGTATGGAAGAATGAAGAACTCAAAAGGAGCACTATATACAAAACTCAAGAGGGTCACCAAATAGACCATAAGGAACACGTAAAAGATCTAGGAATAATTATGTCGGCGGACCTTTCTTTTAAAGACCATAACAAGACAAAGATCATGACAGCCAGGAAGATGACTGGGTGGGTATTGAGAACTTTCAAAACAAGGGGAAACAATGCCGATGGTGACACTATTCAAATCGCTAGTGCTCCATCACTTAGAATATTGCTCAGTGCTGACGGTCCCGTTCAGGGTAGGAGAAATATCGGAGCTGGAACAAATACAGAGATCGTTTACGGCTCACATTGAGCCAGTAAAGCACCTAAACTACTGGGAACGCCTGCAAGTTTTGAACATGTACTCATTGGAGCGGAGGAGAGAGAGGTACATGATAATACAGTGGACCCCCGCCTTACGATCAGCTCCCAACTCTACCAATTATGTAAGTGTATTTTTGTAAGTGCTTTTGTACGTGTATTTTTGGGGGTCTGAAACGGACTAATCTAGTTCACAATATTCCTTATGGGAATAAATTCAGTCTATAACGGCACCCGAACAAACTTCTGGAATGAAATAATATCGTAAGGTGGGGGTCCACTGTATATACCTGGAAGGTACTCGAGGGCTTGGTCCCAAATATGCACACTGCCATAACAACATACTGGAGTGAGAGATATGGGAGGAAGTGTAAAATAAACCCAGTGAGGAGCAGGGGTGTGGTGGGGACACTAAGGGAACACTGTATCAACATCCGGGGTCCCAGACTTTTCAACATCTTACCAGAAGATATCAGAAATACTGCTGGAACAAATGTTGAAGCCTTCAAGAGGAAACTAGACAAGTATCTTCACCAGGTGCCAGATCATCCAGGCTGTGATGGCTATGTGGGGCAGTGGGCCTCCAGTAGCAAGACCCTGGTTGACCAGGTGAGCACCAGACTAGCCTGGCCCATGGCCGGGCTCAGAGAGTAGATATACTCTCGAAATTCTTCAAAGGTATATCGAAAGGTACCTGTGAGACAGAGATAGACAGAAAGAGAGAGACAGATTGAAAGAGATAGAATGAGGGAGAAAGATAATTAGAATGAAAGGGAAGCAGCATCCGACCCCATTGTTTTGACAGACGATAGGGGGAGTGAGTAATGGGATAATGTGCCATTTTGACAGCTGCCGACTCCTGACTCAAAACAATTATAAGCCGCACACTGGCACACAAGACATGCTTGCTGAATGAAAATAATAGCAGTTATATGAAAGTATCTAGTGACTATATATGTGTATATATATACAGTGGACCCCTGCATAACGATTACCTCCGAATGCGACCAATTATGTAAGTGTATTTATGTAAGTGCGTTTGTACGTGTATGTTTGGGGGTCTGAAATGGACTAGTCTACTTCACAATATTTCTTATGAGAAATTCGGTCAGTAGTGGCACCTGAACATACTTCTGGAGTGAAAAAATATCGTTAACTGGGGGTCCACTGTATTATAGAAATCAGAAGGAACTAAGAATGGAAGGCAGGAATGAAGGAAGGACGAGATGAAAGGAAGAAAAAAAGTAAGGAAAGACGAAGGAATGTAGGAAGGAAGGTAGGAAAGGAATGCAGGAAGTTAGGTAGGAAAGGATTGCAGGAAGGTAGGTAGGAAAGGATTGCAGGAAGGTAGGAAAGGAATGCAGGAAGGTAGGAAAGGAATGCAGGAAGGTAGGAAAGGAGTGCAGGAAGGTAGGAAAGAAGGTAGGAAGGTAGGAAAGAAGGTAGGAAGGTAGGAAAGAAATGCAGGAAGGTAGGAAAGGAATGCAGGAAGGTAGGAAGGAAGGTAGGAAATGAATGCAGGAAGGTAGGAATGAAGGAATGATGACACACGACCATTTACCTAAGATAACTACATAACACAACTGCCTGCTAATACTTTGAAGAAAATTGCTCAGACGAGGTGTTTTATCTTTGCACAAAAAAAAGTCCACACAAATGCACACACACTGGTTTTATGTGTGAGAAGTGTAAAACACCATTGTGTATGAAAACATGTTTCAAAGAGTTCCACAAGCTGCAGAACTTCTAGGAATATGTCCAGTGACTGTATATTGGTATATATATTATAGAACACTAGTAATAAACAATTTTTTGTATTGTTTGTTTTTTGTAAACAAGTTTTGTAAACAATATACATGTATTGATAATTATGTTTGTGTGCTTATTGTGTTGTATACAACGAGTGTATATATGTACATTGCACCTTACTTTGGTCTCACAGGCCACATAAGTTATGTGAAAAAATAAAATAGTGAAAAAAAAAACAAGCCTTCAAATACAACGAAACCAAAGTTTACCGGGTGAGCGGCAGTCGCCGCTATTGCCATACGCTGCTCATTTTCTGCAAACTTCATGCCTCTATATCTCCGTAAGTACTGATGGCAAAAAAATCTTTTTTGGACTAAAACAATCAGAAAAATAATCTTAACATTTTCATAAGAAAAAATAATTTTTTTTTTTTTTGAATATTTTGTAACATAGAATGACAGTTTCGGAAAGGGGCCTACGACAGTCAAAGGGTTAAATATACATCGCATATAATAAATATTGCATGTTTTTATATATTATGTAACATGTTTCTTTGGGCCCATGGTTTCTTATTTTGCAGTTGCACTCGATCAACAGCAGTAAGAATGATAACAAATTCCCACTCCTGGCAGCATACTCCACCAATTTTCAAAAGTCTGAATCTGCTCACCATTAAGAACATCCATACTTATTTATGTGCCTACTACATACACAGAACAATACACGCAAACATAAACCCTCCATTTTAGGTAGTAGGTTGGTAGACAGCAACCACCCAGGGAAGTACTACCGTCCTGCCAGATGACTGTGAAACAAAAACCTGTAACTGTTTTGCATGATGGTAGGATTGCTGGTTTCTTTTTCTGTCTCATAAACACGCTCGATAACAGGGATATCTTGCTACTCCTACTTACACTTTGGTCACACTTCACAGACACGCACATGCATATATATATATATATACATACATCTAGGTTTTTCTCCTTTTTCTAAATAGCTCTTGTTCTTCTTTATTTCTTCTATTGTCCATGGGGAAGTGGAAAATAATCTTTCCTCCGTAAGCCATGCGTGTCGTATGAGGCGACTAAAATGCCGGGAGCAATGGGCTAGTAACCCCTTCTCCTGTATACATTTACTAAAAAAGAGAAGAAGAAAAACTTTATAAAACTGGGATGCTTAAATGTGCGTGGATGTAGTGCGGATGACAAGAAACAGATGATTGCTGATGTTATGAATGAAAAGAAGTTGGATGTCCTGGCTCTAAGCGAAACAAAGCTTAAGGGGGTAGGAGAGTTTCAGTGGGGGGAAATAAATGGGATTAAATCTGGAGTATCTGAGAGAGTTAGAGCAAAGGAAGGGGTTAGCAGTAATGTTGAATGATCAGTTATGGAAGGAGAAAAGAGAATAAAGAATGTGTAAATTCAAGAATTATGTGGATTAAAGTAAAGGTGGATGCGAGAAGGGGTCATAATAAGCGTGTATGCACCTGGAGAAGAGAGGAATGCAGAGGAGAGAGAGAGATTTTGGGAGATGTTAAGTGAATGTATAGGAGCCTTTTGAACCAAGTGAGAGAGTAATTGTGGTAGGGGACCTGAATGCTAAAGTAGGAGAAACTTTTAGAGAGGGATGTGGTAGGTAAGTTTGGGGTGCCAGGTGTAAATGATAATGGGAGCCCTTTGATTGAACTTTGTATAGAAAGGGGTTTAGTTATAGGTAATACATATTTTAAGAAAAAGAGGATAAAATAAGTATACAAGATATGATGTAGGGCGAAATGACAGTAGTTTGTTGATTATGTATTGGTAGATAAAAGACTGTTGAGTAGACTTCAGGATGTACATGTTTATAGAGGGGCCACAGATATATCAGATCACTTTCTAGTTGT